GGGCTCCAGGTGGCCTCCAGGCCCTGAGGTCTGGGCTCTCCTTCCTGAGACCCAGACACACCTGCCCCTGCAGCACAGAGGCCCCCATCTCCATCTCAGCTGGAACATTTCTCCTCTCCTGCCTCCTCCAGACCTCAAGGGCCAAGGCCCTGGCCAGACGCCAGTTTGTCAAGGAGACTGATTAAAAGCAGCTTTGCTGGGGGCAGATGGCTTGGTGTCCTTGGCCTGAAGTGAAGATCAATAAGCAATTGTTTTTCTCTTGGCAAGAAAAAAATTCTCCATTAACTTTCTTAGGTGCTGCCAGACCAGTTTTCTTTTCAGGAACGCTGCAGTCCTATCAGAGGTGGTTCTGGGAGGGAAGACAGGTCACTGGTGCTGCTCTGCTCCCCTGCCCTGGGAGGGCTGTGGAACCCACACAAGAGCAGGCTGGGTCAATTGGACGTCAGTAGCTCTTAGGAACATTCTGGAACATGGCTGGCAAAACCCAGCCTAGTAGGCATTCAATAGGTAATTGAAAGAATAGCTTTTTGAGCACTTAACCAGGTACCAGACATGATACTGAGTGCTAGCTATTTAATCCTCATGACTAATGGGTTACCTCCCATTTTATAGATAAGAAAACTGAGGCTGAGGTGGGGCTAAGCCATTTGTGTGTGGTGAGCCCAGGCAGTTGAACTTCAAAGGCCCTGCTTTTCTTTTCCTGGGGAATACTCAACAAGCTGGACTGCAGAGAACCTTGAACTTGGGTTGGATTCTTTCACTGATAGGGAAGCCATGGCAGGAACACAGTTAATGATTTCTTTCTCAGACACAGTAAGGATGGGATAGAAGAACAGGAGTGGGACCAGCTGCCCCCTCCCCCTGCCTCAGCCCTCTAGGTTTATTATCCCAACTCCTATCATGGTCACAGCTGTCCTCTTTTAAGAATTCATCTCAGAAGAGTTACTATTTGTCCATGGTACCCAGTGGAAAGTTAGTCCTTCCCACCCTGTCCCCTTGCTTCTGCAAACTAGTCATTTTCTCTTGAGGCCACTGTTAACTGTTTTTGTATATACCTTTCCAGAAATATGCTGTTGCATATACAGTGATTTTCACACGTATGGCCTTTTTCCTGTTACGTCAAAATAGCGGCATACTAGTGCTTTGTTTTTTTTTTTCCGTGTAACAGTGCGTCATGGAGTCATATTAGGCTGTGTAGAGTTACCTCTTTTAATTAAAAAACATTTTTTTTTAATGTTTATTTTTGAGAGAGAGAGATAGACAAAGTGTGAGTTGGGGAGGGGCAGAGAGAGAGGGAGACACAGAACCAAAGCAGGCTGCAGGCTCTGAGCTGTCAGCATAGAGCCCGATGAGGGGCTTGAACTCACGAACCGTGAGATTATGACCTGAGTCAAAGTTGATGCTTAACCGACTGAGCCACCCAGGTGCCCCAAGAGTCACCTCTTGTAAAATAAACGCATGTTTTCTCTGGGGATACATGTACCTCATCTTTTTTACTCAGTCCCCTGTGGATGGTCATTTCAAATCATACTGCCACAAGAAATCACTTTTTACATGTGTGAGGTTGTCTGTAGGGTAAATACTCAGGTGAGGAATTGCTAAGTCCAAGGTATATTCATTTGGAGTTTTGTTAGATATTGGTGAATTTCCATTTTTTTTTTGTTTATTGTTTATTTTTGAGAGAGTGAGAGAGGGAGTGAGAGGGAGCGAGCTTGGGGGGGGGAGGGGCAGAGGGGAGGAGGACAGTGGATCCAAAGTGGGCCCCACGCTGACAGCAGGGAGCCTGGTGCGATGCGGGGCTCAAACTCCCAAACCCGTGAGATCCTGACCTGAGCCGAAGTTGGATGCTTAACCTACTGAGCCACCCAGGTGCCCTAGTGAATTTCCTTTCATAAGAGTGCCCAATTCATACTCTCTGTAGCCTCACCAAAATAGTGCTATTATTACATTTTTGGTCTTTGCCAATCTGATAGATGGAAAAAGTAGTAATTCCTTATAGTTTTATTATTAAAATTTTTCTTAATTTTGGTAAAATATACATAAAATAAAAATTTACCATTTTAACCATTGTTAGGTGTACAATTCAGTGGCATTAATTACATTCACAGTGTTGAGAGACCATCGCCACTATCTATTTCCAGAACTTTTTCATCACTCCAAACCGAGGCTCTGTACCCCTTAAACAATGACTCCCTGTTCCCCTTTTCCCAGTTCCTGGTAACCTTTATTTTCTGTCTGTATGATTTTGTCTATTTTAGGTACCTCATATAATTGCAGTCATAGAGTATTTGTCTTTTAATATTTGGCGTGTTTCACTTAGCATGTTTTCAGAGTTCACCCATAGGATAGCATGTGTCAGAACTTAATTCCTTTTTACGGCCGAATCATATTCCATTTTATGGATAGAACACATTCTGTTTACCCATTCACAGTAGATGGACACTTGGGTTGTTTCCACCCTTTGACTATTGTGAACAGTGCTGTCATGAGCAAGAGTATATATGTATCTGTTTGGATCCCTCCTCTTAATTCTTCTGGGTATATACCTGGGAGAGGAATTGCTGGATCATATGGTAATTCTACAATTAATGTTTTGAGGACTCATCAAACCATTTCATTGTAGTTTAAATTTGCACTTCTCTTACTATAACTAAGGCTGAGCATCTTGTCATATGATGGGTTTCTTGGTTGATCTTTTACCATGAACTCTGTGTTCATAAATTGTACCTGTGTCTGGGCTGGGCCACTGCAGTGATTTTGTTAATGCTTTTCCCATTGGTCTTTCCCCTGCTCCACAGGGGTAGGGACCCCATCTGCTTGCATTACTGTCCAGATTGCCTGACACAGAAGCTGTTCCATAAATACTTCTTACAGGACTATCGTAAGAGGGCAAGTGGCATTTTTCAGCCTCTCATCCACCTCCTCCGCTCCCATCTACCCCCTCCTCTCTATCCCCTCACTGCCACCCACTGTCATCAAGAGATATCCTTTCATTCATTCATACAATTTCTCTGCTCAGCACCACTGTTTGCCTGACATCTTCGTGATATGGGTGATCGATATGGAGAGCCACCACCATGAGCATCTGCGGATGTGCTCCCTGAATTCTAGTGGCACCTGTGACATTTGTCCAGCAGAATTTGTCAAACACATGAACCAAAGGTTAATATTCTGTCCCGGAGACAGAAGGAATTGACAGTCTAAGGAAGTGTCAACTTTTTTTGTTCACATAATATGAACTTAACCATTTAAAAATGAACACTTCAGTGGTACTTAGAACGTTGACAGTGTTGTACAGGTACCACCTCTGTTTACTTCCAGATCGTGTTCAGCGCCCCAGGAGACCCTATACCCATTTGCAGTCACTCCCGTGCTCCCCAGTACCTCCTCAGTCATAGGCAATCACTAATCTACTTTCTGTTTCTATGGATTTACCTATTCTAGAAATTTCAAATAAAGAGGATTGTACGTATGTGACCTTTGCGGTCTGGCTTCCTTCACTTAGCATGATGTTGTCGAGGTTCATCTAGACTGTAACATGTATGAGTATTTCATTCCTTTTATGGCTGAATCATATTCCATTGTGTGGATAGACCACATCCTGGTTATCCATTCATCTGTTGATGGGCATGTGGTTGTTTTCCCTGTTTGGCTATCATGAATAGAGCTATTTGAGTATTTACCTAGAAACAGAATTGCTGGGTCATTGTGGTAAATGTTTAGTTTTGTGAGGAACCACCAAGCTATTTGGTGTTCTTTTTTTTTTTTTTTTTTTTTTTTTTTTTTTTTTAAACACCCATCGTGGGGCTTGAACTCACAACCTGGAGATCAAGAGGAGCATGCTCTATCACTGAACCAGCCAGGCGCCCTGATCCTAATCTTTTGACTTCATGTTTGCCTTCTGCCTGGCAGGCACCAAATAGCAGCTGAACTAAGACAACATTAGATAATAGATATGTTGAGCCTGGCTCCTCAGACATCGTGAGCTGCCTGGCCCACTCTCTGGGGTGCCTTTCCTTCCTCTGATGTGACCTCTGACCCCTGCTCTTCAGTTGGCCCGAGGCCAGTCCAGACTGGACTCCTGTGCCAGTGGGTTTTGCTTAAACAAATCCTTTTCTTTCTCTCAAGCCTCAGTTTCCCCATTTACAAAATGGGACTGTAATAGCAAACCTAGGGTGCTTTTGAGATTATGCAGGCATGCTGAAGGTGTTTTGTAAACCGTAAAGTGCTGTCTGAATCATCGCCATTGTGAAGTCATACAACCTAGACATGGTCACGAGGAAGTGACCATTTATTTGGCTGGTCCAGCATTTAAAAATATTTGAAATAATTGCTAATTAAAAAAATCAAGAGACCTCACCTGATGTGTAGGTTCAGAGCTTCTCTAT